TTGCGGCTGTGGCAGAAGGCGAGGCCCTTCAGCAGCTGGTACATGAACGACTGGGGGGGACACAGGGGGGTCTGTCAGCCCCCCCACACTGTGGCACCCCTGTGGGGCCGGGCTGGGACTCTGGGGCCCCCCAGACCCACCTTGACGATCTCAGGGTCCAGGTCCCCATTGCAGCTGTCAAAATATTTCTTCAGGTCCTGGGGGGGAGCGATGGGGGGCCGCGTCGGGGGCGGCCAGGAGCGGTGACCCCCGGGGACCCCGAGGACCCCCAGGGACCCCCTAGAGACCCCCAGGATCCCCCCATGCCCCTGGCGCTCACTCACCTGGTCACAGAACTCGAAGACCAGGGTCAGCTTCTTGTCGCTGTGCAGGACGTCGTGGAGCCTGCAGGGGGGGTGGTCCCTGAGCCCCTCAGCGCCCGGCCCAGCCCAAGGCACCCGGGGAGGGGTCCCTGAGCCCCGCAGCGCCCGGCCCAGCCCGGGGCATCTCGCATGGCAATCCCTGAGCCCCCTGCTCCCCTGCCCCGGTCTGGGTCAGCCCGAGGGAGCAGCCCCCGTGCCGTGACCCCACAGCCCCCTGCCCGCGGCCGCCCCGGTACCTGACGATGTTCTTGTGCTTGAGCTCCTTGAGCAGGCAGATTTCCCGCAGCGCCGAGCTGGGCACTCCCTGCGGGACACGCCGGGTTGGCGGGCGGGGGGTCCCGGGGGTCCCGGGGGGACCCCAGCCCCGGCCTCCCCCCTCACCTCATCATCGTCGTCCAGCCGCACCCGCTTCAGCGCCACGATCTCGTGCGTCTCCCGGTTCTTGGCCTTAAACACGGTCCCGTAGGTGCCTGTGGGGCGCGGGGAGGGGGGGGTCACGGCAGGGCCCCCGCTGGCGATACCGGTCCGGGCCCCCGCGGCCCCCGGGCCGCCCCGCACGGCCCCGGCCCGGCCGCACCTTCCCCGATCTTCTCCAGCTTCTCGTATTTCTGCATGGCCGCGATGTCCCGGCGCGGCCCCCCCCGGTACCAGCCCCGGCCCCGCCGCCCTCCCGGCAGCCCCCGCGCGGCCCCGGCCCCTCCCGGCAGCCCCCGCGCGGCCCCGCCCCCG